ATGCTACCTGATGTAAGGAGGTTCTTCACAACTATGTGCAAGGGAATTTTGGAAAAGTTTATTTGGGTGATAATAAAGCCTACAATATTTTTGGAAAATGTGATGTGGAGATTACCCAGGCTAATGGAACAACATTGAAATTGGAAGATGTGAGTCACGTTGCAAGCCTGACAAGAAATCTAATTTCGGTTGGGCAGTTGTCATGCACTGAAATTGTGATGTCTTTCACTAGTGATTCATGGAAGATTACCAAAGGGGCATGGTATTGGCTCGTTGTAGAAAGGAAGGCACCCTATATGTGATGGACACCCATACTGGCAAAGTCTAGGGTTGGAGAAATTTCATGGTAGCAAAGGCTTGGTCACACGAGTGAGAAAGGAATGAAGATCACGATGTCAAAAGAGAAGTTGTCATGGTTACAGTCATTTGATTTACACTTCTGTGAAGACATTATTTTCGGGAAACATATAAAGGTCAGTTTCACAAAGATACCGAGGACTAAAATCAGAACGGCTAGAACTGGTACATACTGATGTATGGGGACCGAATCAAGCACCTTCTCTTGGTGGTTCACGATATTCGTTTCCTTAATTGATTATGCTACTAGGAAATTATGGGTGTATAAATTTAAACATAAATCAGATGTATTTGGGATATTCAAGAATTGGAAGGCTCTGGTTATGAATGAGACGAGTCAAAAGCTAAAATGTATCAAGTTTGATAATGATGGCGAGTACCATGACGGTGACTTTCAGGTCTATTGTGCTAAAAATGGGATTAGAAGATTGAAAACTGTCCCAAAAAAGGTGAGGCGGAATGGAGTCGTTGAGCACAAGATAGGACTATCCTTGAACATGCAAGGAGCATGAGAATACATGATGGGTTACCCAAGCAATTCTGTGCTGATGCTGTAAACATAGCAGCATATTTGATAAATAGAGGACCTCCAGTTTCATTGAATAATAGACTAAAAGAAGGTAAAACTCTCCCATTTACATATTTTTGGCTGCATTGCCTATGTTCACATTGAATCTGAGAATAGGATCAAACTTGATCCTAAGTCTCGAAAGTGTGTTTTTATTGGCTATAAGAATGATAGCTGTGGGTATAGGTAATGGGATACTAAAAAATAAAATATTATTAGGGGTATGGATGTGGTGTTTATTGAGTCTATTATGTATATAGACTAGCTTAAGAAAAGTGTTGACAAATCTAATATTGTCGAATTTGAGGAAATATGTAATAGGGATGTCCTAAAACCTCAAAAAAAATTGACACACAACCTCCTCCCCAAACAAACCCACAAACCCTTCCCCGAAGGAGATCTTCTAGAGATTGTAGACTTGCATGCAAGAAAATGATGTAGTTGAAAATTTGCATGAAAGAGTTGGGTAAAAAGCAAAAGACTTGCATGTTATTCAATGATAGTCAGAGTGCAATCCATCCTGCAAGGAACTCAGCCTTTCATATCGATATCAGGTATCATTTTATTCGTTCAATCTTAGAGGATGGACAGTTTACTTTGGAAAAATTCATACAAGAGAAAATCCTGCAAATATATTGACAAGGGTGGTAATTGTTGATAAGCTGAAGATATGTTCAGCTTCGGTTGGTCTTCAAGCCCATAAGACGGGGGAAGTCTCACAATAGTTTCTTATGTTGGATAGAGGTATTGGGTGATTGATTGTTTAGGGTGGAGGCCCGAGCTATTTTATTTGGTGAAATTAGATAGGTAAAATTATTTTGGCTACGAAGGGTATTATGATCGATTCTAAATGTAAACATAGTACCAGGCTATTTATTTTTGTTGTTGGCTACACATTAGTAGTCTAGTGTTGCTTGTAATCGATGGATCACTGTACCGTTTTCCCCAAAACTAGTGAAATCAATGTGAGCCGTGGACATAGACGATGTTGTCGAATCATGCAAAATCTGTATGTCAATTTCTTTATGTTTGTGATTGGTTTCTGTAGTTTCTGATCTCCTGTGTGTGTTATTCCTTGTAGTGTCATCGTGTGTTGTCCATTTATTGTTATCGATTTATTGTTGTCCTCGGGGATTAAGAAGACTATTGAAATTGATTGTATTCATCTAAATGTTTAGCTTGCCTCAATAAATTTCTTTCTTGACAGAGAAAAATAAAAATAATAGAAAATATGAAAGAATGTAAATGTTTACCCTGAATTTCAGAAATTGTCAAATCCAATCCCCTAAGTCCTAAGTCCTAACATAGCCACAACACAACAGAGACAGGTAGTCAAGTATCTAATATAGATCCAAACTGCCCTGCACTCTCGATGATAACTTCATGTCTACAAATGGAATTCTTTTCTTCTTTAGGTATGTTCTTTAGGAATAAAGTTGTAAAGGCAGATTTTACTACTGTGTTAACATCTCGTTTATTATAAATAACAAAGCAAGTTTGAGTTCAAGAATTCCAGTTCATCCTGTCTCAAAATCCTTGATTTACAAAACCACATTATATAGTGACTATTTTCATCTCCAATAAAACATAATAATAAATCACTATTGTATAACAATATAAGGGTGTGCCCCTCCATCTACCGGTCAACTTTACCCCCCAAGAGCTTGAATCACACAAAGCAATAGCCAGAAGAGAAGGCCATAGCCTAAACCTACAAGGATAGTTGTTGTAACATATGGCTGTGGAATCCTAAAGAAAAATTGCAGAAAAGTACACTAAGCCTATTTTCGACTACATGAGATTGGAGTTTTGAAATTAGAATTGGTATAATTGAAAAAGAGCAAGTCAAAAAATTGAACTAATATTTTCTTCAATTTCATCAATTCCAATTCTAATTCCATATAACCAAACACAGTCAAAAAGAAATTACATGGTGTATGTAGTATGAATTGCTGATTTATCAGAATTAGGGCTTAATTACAATGCAAACCTAACTTTTGTCATGTAAAAAGTGAGCACCCTTAAACTCGAACTCGTTTTCACTAGCAGCCAGAGTTCTATTAAAAATATATATATTTCAAAAAGAAAAACTAAAACAATCAACCGCGAAAAAAATAAAAAAATAAATAATAATAATAATAAGAAATAATCATTGATGAGAAGATGTAATATTGGCATGAAATATCAATTTGTTACTTTTCAATTTGAATAGCATTACTCTTGGAGCACATCCTTTTTTAAGATGTGGACGTGCAATTCCCAAATAAAAAGCAGAGGTGACCAGCCTATATATTTTTTTCTCTCCAAGGTGACCAGCCTATATATTCTTCAACCGAAGTGGACTAAAAGTAGCATAGCAAGGCCACACATCTCCATCTCTTAGTCAAAAACCTTCAATCATCATGGAGAGAATCACCCTTTTCTGCAAATAGGGTTTGTCCGAGAGGAGCTTTGTGGGCAATCTCATGTGGGCAACACTTCCACGGCCTCTGTGGGGGTGCCCTTCTTTCTGTGCAAGTCATTACGAGCCTAGACTTTCACCGTACGTGTTGAGCGTGGAAGTTTAAAGTTCAAAATGAGCAATATACAGAAAATTTCACATGAATCTCGAAAGCATATATACTAAAAATTTACAGATTTTTGTGTATCTTTAGATGCCAATTTTTACCGAAAACTGGTCCTAAAATGAGACCATGCAAGTTGATGATGACTAGAAACGAACAAAATGTGGAATGTCAAAGATGATTTTAGCACCAAATATCCATCAAACAGTAGGCAAATACATGGTGGCTGTGCTTTAGTTTCAAAATTTTGCTGGGATTGGCATTACTTGCACAGAACAACTAAATGTGCTTAAAAGTTTCTAAGACTGGCCGGCAAGTTAACTAACTGCAAGAAGTATTAGAAGGGTAGACCACCAGGAGGAAATAGTGAACAACAGGGATACGACTTCCTTGAGCAAAAACATGAGAGAATTCCATCCAAATAGAAGTTAAACAACTAAATGCTACAAACCACCAATAAAAGCATAATACATTAATACTTATTAGGGCTCGTTTTTCATCCGAACAGAAACAATGTTTTTTTAGCAAAGTGTATTCAACAGTGATTGGAAGCAAGTTTGGTAACAAATAATTTGTTACAAGATTTTTTTAAACAAAAAACGGTTGCCAAACATGCCCTTGGTCATCAAACAAATAACGGAATTCGAATCAACTTTGGTAAGATAATGATCATGAAAAAGGGTAATATCCCGTATTAATCCTGCCCAAACAAGATTCTGAGAGAAAAAGGCTAAAAACAAACTTAATATTCAACGTTATTTTGCACAAAGTGCTAAAGACTTAAACATGATCCTAACTTGAAGTTAAAGGAATGAATAAATATAAGCACAAGGCATAAAACTTGATATTCAACCAAAACAATTCCAAAAACAATAGGCACAGGAACTAAAAATTGAACGGTCCACATCAACCAAACCAGCTAATACTTTCACCAAAAAAATAAATCAAGAAACCAAAATCAAATAGCTAAAGCAGTGTCCCAAGGGTCTGTCAAAATCCTGATTCAACATCATTGCTAGCTAGCAATAGCACTAGAGCACATTTCAATTCAATGAAAGGAATCTGGTCTACATCAACCTTTACGACAAAAATGGAAGAAGGGTTTGTGCTTTAGAACCCCATATAAATAATTCAATTGGAACATAAGTTGCATTTAGTGATCTCTTTCTTGTAAGAAAAGGATTCTTAGAGAGTGCATATCCATCCCCTGTAAAGCTACTTACCTTTCTTTTTATTGACCAGTGAGCCATGCTTGGATGGCCTGTCAATTTTTATCACTTTAATTTCTTTTCTTGGTCGGTTTTGGATATCCAAACTCCACACACAACCCTCCATTATAGGTGGCCATCCTTGCTAAAGCAAATTCCCTTTGGCTCAACATCCAAAGGTCCAAACAAAAAACCCACCGCTTTCTTGAACCCACCGCCTCTCTCCTCTCTTTACAATCTGACACTGACCACTGGAAGCTAATCTAGCAGAAAAAAACTCTCTCTAAAACAGATTCTTTACATGCCCCACACATTCTGCCTTTAAAAGATTCCTCCTCCAAGTACAAATGAATGCCATGCATATATTCTCCATTCACTCTCCACCCTTTTCTCATACAAATCACCTCTGCTTGTTCATTTCCCTCCCTTTCCTCCTCCATGATTCCACAGTTAGAGGTATGACTAAGAACCTACATCAACTAGGCATCAAAATAGCAACTTGCATTATCATAGCATCATTAGCATTCATCCTATTCGGTTTTACACTGCGATACATTTTTCTAACTATTCAATTTCCATAAAACAAATGCAGAAACCTCGAGTCACGGAAATACAGGTCCGGATGGACTGCAATGGGTGCATACAGAAGATCAAGAAGGCTCTGCATGGTATTAAGGGTAAAGTAATTTAACTAGTAACAAATTCCCAAATCTTCTCTCGTATCGTCCTTTTCAAGAACAAATTTATCTTTCTTTACCTAATAATGTTGAGATTCAAATATCTACAGGTATATATGATCTCTACATTGACTTCCCGCAACAAAAATTAACAATAATCGGTTGGGCAGATCCTGAAAAAATAATCAAAGCCCTTAAGAAGGCGAGGAAAATGGCCACCATTTGTTCCCATACAGAACCAACAGAACAACCAGCTCAGCCAACAGAGCCAGCGCCTGAAAATGGGGCACCAGCTCCTGAAGCAGCAAATCAACCTCCAGCAGAACCAGCCCCGCCAGCAGAAACAGCCCCGCCAACGGAAGCAGCCCCACCAAAAGACCCACTGCCACCTGAAAATCTGCCGCCAGAGGTGATGCCATCCTCTGTAGCCAATGCCAACCCTGCAAGCCAGGCAGCACAATCCTCCAGACCGAAAGATGTGGAAGAGGTTCATGTCATTTACCACCACCCACCTGACTACGGCTACAGATTTGGCCCCCCTCAAAGCTATCATCATGGCTATGGCAGGCAATTGAACAACTATCCTAATGGTCCAGGAATCCGATATGAGCCTACCCCACCGGCTTACGTGACTCACAGCTACAACAGTTACAAGCCATCACCTTATGTTACCGAATATGAATATATCCGATCTCCACCACGATACACACATTACAGTAGACCAGAGCACTACAGTGAGGTCTATCACAGCAGCAACAATGGCAACGGAAATATCACTTCAATGTTTAGCGACGAAAATCCAAACGCGTGTAGAATAGTCTAGAAGGAAAGGAGAGGTCAGTATGAAAAGGAGCACTTTCTTTTGCCTCTGAGAGGAGACTTAGAGGAGAAAGTTAACCAAGAATAATCAGAGACATTATATTATTCAATGGCAAATAATATTTTCAAATAAGTACGTGAGAATGTTGGGGAAAAATTATATTCTAAGCTTGTAAGTGCAAGAAGAATTTATCCTACGTTGCACTTGTGAGAGGGCTAATGCATGCTACCTGTTATTAATCAATTGCTAAAAGTAACCTATAAAAACATACTTTATTCTACTTATCAAAAAAAAAAAAACATACTTTATTCTAAAGCTACAATCCTCAGCTTTCAATTTTTGAAGAATAATTATCCCTTGCCATATTTTAGCATTATCACCTGAAGACTTCTAAGCTTGAAAAAAGAAGGATTAAAGTAACACTTTATCAAGATTAAGTTGCAATAGAAGAAAAAGTATAAAAGTTTCCTGAACTGTGTCTCTCTCCAAAGAATCTGCCTGTATTCCTTGTTCTCTTATGGACAAACAACTTTGCCAACACGACATTCCTAAATAATAACACCTTCAAACCTCAAAAGATCACAAAACAGGAATCTACAATTTATGCTCTACATTCATGTAGGCTAACCACAATCAGATCAAAAGCACTGCTAAATTGATAAATGCATCATCATAATCAAAAGTTATAATCCAACTCTTTGGGTTTGTCTACATATATCAGCTGTCTCCAACCAGCTCATTTTAAGGACCCTTTTCCCCTTATATACAGAGACACCAGCATTATTAAAATTTATGTATGCATATGTCCAGTTCATAATATGCCATGAATATCGATGATACATTGGTTAACTACTGAGAAAAAATATCAAACCTGCATTATGGCGCAGAAAACCAAATGATATATCAGATGTTCAAAACGCTCTACAAAAAGATTGAGAATTGCAACGAAAATCTGAAACTATGTCTAAAGTCCCTCGTCATCTTCAACATCCCTGTGACTATCTATAAAGCTCCCTAACCTAATCTAACATATTTACTACATATGCAGTATGCAACCACAGAGCTACGATTGTTCCAGTGTCATGGACAGTTTCTATTGATTGGTAATAGATCTTCTCAATTATGGTGCTAACAATTATTTTATCCAAAGCAAATAAGTTTCTCTAGTGACTTGACTCTTCCATAACCATTTTTATTATTAGATCTCCGTTGCCCAGAACAGGGCACCTTGAAATAAAGTGGTTAAACAATTAGTTCCAAGGAAATAGATATAACAGGTTTAATAAGAGCCTAAGTTTAAAAGATTTTTAACAAGAACAGGAGCACGCTACGCCGACAAAACTTTAGCTTAAAATACAACATGTTGAAGAGCACCAGAGAGAAAACACTAAATCAAGTCAATGTCCACTTGGGTGAACGGCACACCTCTGACAATTTTAGCTTAAAATACAACATATTGAAGAGCACCAGAGACGAAACACTAAATCAAGTCAATGCTCACTTCGGTGGACAGCATTAGTGATCAAACGGAGATTCATAGAGAAGTGAAATTGCTATAATATCAGCTCTGAAGCCACGTCAACTCATCCAACAAAAGCCTAATCCAACTACATCATATTAGCTATTCACCAAAAGGCAAAGGCCAATTCTACAGTTATAACAGAGATGGTTGAGATATGAAATTAGAGAGAACTGTAAACAAAAATAAACTTTTAAGTTGATGTCAAAGAGAAGCACAAAAGGTTTCCAACAGTATATCTGGATAATATTGAAATTATAGAAGAAATGTCTCCCTTCTTGTAAAACACTGTTTCAATCAACAAGGTAGTCCATCTTCAACAGACAAACTATAACTGCCCAAATAGGACTCATATTTCAAATACTAACCAGATAAGGTAACAGCATGTTCTTCGGATATTCCAGTATAGAATTCAAAATGACACAAAAAACAAGTCTTAGATTTACCATATTCAAATTTAGGATTCCTAGACACAGAATATAGTAATTAGTATACTTATCCAAAAAGGAATGTAGTAACTAAAAAAGAAAAACAATATTAAATTTAGACTACATTGGATTTGAAAATATTTTCACCTAACAAATTGCGCCATACAATCATTAGACAGGCTTTATGAGCATAAAGTATTAAATTGTTCATGAACATCATATTTACCAGAAACAATTAATACTCCAGTCAGAACTTGATTCATGATATAAAAATAATAAAAACAATGTTGAGAACCCAACTCTTGGAGTGTTGCAAACTGGGCCATGGAGATGGGGGTTGGACAAGGTCAAAATATATTTTACGTCTATATAATTTCCAAGTTTTGTCCTGCTTTCACACACACACAAAAAAATAAAATAAAATAAAATAAAATAAAAAAATAAAATAAAATAAGGATGCTAGCATAAATTAAATAGATAAATATTTTCAGATCTATCTACAAGAAATCCACTAAGCAACTGTTGATGATGAATTTCAACACATCACAACTGTTAATCTGCTTCCAAATAAGCACTTGTATATGAAATCGGGAAAAATAAATAAATATATAAAATAAAAAATAAACACTTCCAAGCAGAAAAAAATAACTGGAACAAAATTTGCAACACCCACCAAAGGGCCCCTAGCCCAATGGTATCATCCCTCCTCACCAAATGGGAAGGTTGAGAGTTTGAGTCCCACTAGGGACGTGGATAATGGGCTTGTGTGTTTGCCAAAAAAAAAATATTAAAATAATTTTGCACCACCCTATGGTTGAAACCAGCACAAGTTTGAGTACATAAAGACTTCCACACCGAGTTATGATGAATCTCCTCTTATAAACCAGTGTTCTGAGAAATTGTACAAACAAAAAGAAAGGGAAAAGACAAAGGAGTTTTACTAACTATTTGTAAAACAAATGTCCCATAAAGAAAAAGAAATTGCCACATGCGCATGGAAATTAAAAAAAGTTACAAAGGGAGACCAGATTGTGAGCTCATAGAGCCGGTCTAGGAGACAACACACGGTGCTAAAAGATAGGAAGATTGAAATTGCAGTTAGCAGATTTACAGCAACAAGCGCCTCATCAATGGTGTGGAAGCAAGCTGATAGACAGATACCATGACATCCATCTTGAATCCACAGGGAAAGGGACAAGCCATTCAAATGAAATGTGAAAAGAGGCAGAAATTAAATCACAAGCCATGGAAGTCTGGGTAATACACAAATCACAGAAAATTACAACAGAGAGCACAATCTGAAATGTGTCACACAATCAGGCTTCAACAAACCAGCATGAAAAGAGGTAGCTAAATCAGATTAACAAAAGCCCCATATGACTCATTTTTCACGAGCATCAGCATAATAATTATATGCAAATTTAGTAAGGCTTTGGTCATCATCTAAGAGGTTCACCAGTGATACCTCCATAATTAAAATTTGAACTTATCTGATGATCCATCCAAACTACGTATGAAACTGTAAGCCAGCGGCTAGTTACCAGAGTGGTATCTCCTGTCCATCCTATGGAAGATGGAACCTAGGAGCCAAGGGAAACGAAAAGAAGAATATTAAAAATTATGAATAGTTAGCTGTGACCCGTGTCCTTGAATTGACATTCATTTTTCTCAGGAATCTAGTAAAAGACACTAATTTGAAGAATAGGTATGACAATTGCAGCGTTCTCACAATTACATATAGGTCACTTTTACAACAAAATGAAAAGAATTCCAATAAATATCAAATTTTGTATGCCAAATTGTGTAGTTCCATATTGAATGTGCACCACGCAACCCTGAACCTGTCACCAGACATATATTCAAAATGGCATAGTTTTACCAGTCTTTTTCCAGAAAAAATAAAATGTTGTGCCCCATAACTTCATCAGAATTAGTACCAATCAAATGAGTGATGCTTAAAGAAGATCGATCTTTAATAAATAATGAACAAAGGGTATTAGTAATTAAAATAATCACCTCTTGTGGTAAAACACACCTAGTCATCATCACTACCACTATTTTGAGATTCCTCATCATCTTCACCATAAAGAAATTCATCGACATCATCATTGTCACTTTCGTCCATCTGGTCATCTTGAGCTATTATTTGACTTGTGTTATGTGCGGCATTGTGGATCTGCTTAAGAAATAAAAGTGACAACAGATTAAACACAAACACACACAAAGAACAAATGATTTCATTGATGTGTGAAGAACTTAACCTGTGCTGTTACAAGTTGCAAACGACCTGACAACTGCAATAAAGATTGAATGGCTACCCCTTTGGATTTAGAAAGCTGGAAGAAGAAAAACGTTATTATAATGTTAGGAAATCAACAATTGCCCTCAAAGGTTATGAACAAAGTGTAACAAAAACTATGAGCACAAGTTCTCTCACAAGATATTCTGTATTGCATATGTGTATATTAGTATGTTATTAAGAGACAAGGCATGAAAAACTAATGCAATAAAGAGAACATACAAGCGATCCAAACAGAACATACTGAAACATTGTCATCACTATATGTTCTCAAAGTCAAGAATCGCACTCTTCAAATGAACGGCAGATCCGTCACCACCACTAGAATACGGGTCCTATTTTGGTTTACGGGAAAATGATTTCAACATTAATGCGCAATATATAGTTATATGTTTATACTCAATATATGAATCAATAAACCCAGCAAGCTGGTAGCTGCAGTGGTATCTCCTGCCGTCACCAAATGAGGTGTAGACCAGAGGCACTTGGGACGAAGGTGTTTGTGCATCTCTTACTTATCAAAGAAAAAATAAAAAGAATTTATGGAACAGTAAACTTCTACTTCCTATAGTATGCATATGATGTAGTAAAAATATTTGTTAACGTGAAATGACAAGATAAAACATGGATGGCTATGGTATGGGAAACAAGAACTGGTGACAGTGTGTTGGAGACAAAAATCAAGAGCCTTGTGGCTCAAGGAGAGGGATATAAATAAAGGTTCTTCAATTGGCTGGCAAATCCACATAGGAGGGGTGATTACATCAGTAGAATCTGCATTGATAGAGAGGAGTTAAGTAAGGAAGAGGACATTACAAGAGATCTAGTGCAGTTTTACCAACAATTATATGGAGAAAATTGCTCTTGGAGACCATTGTTGAGTGGTTTAGAGTTTGACTACATCTCAGAGTACGATAGAGAGAGGATGGAGAGACCCATGTGTCGAAGAGGATGTTGAGATGGCGTTGAAGAGCTGCAATGATTATAAGGCGCCAGGGCTGGATGGATTTATCATGGCTTTTTTCAAACAGAACTGGGAGGTGGTAATAAAGGAGTTAATGGAAGCGATATGCTATTTTCATGAGTATGCGTAGTTAGAGAAGATGATTAATGCATCCTTCAATGCTGTAATTCAAAAAAGAGGACGACCCATGGAGGCTAAGGATTCAATGCTTACTAGCCTTGTGGGTAGGTGTAACGGGTGGGCACTTGCCTGCTGACCCAAAAGCTTAAGCTAATGGGTAGTGTTGCATACCCACCCATTTATACCCATTTTAATTCCCATTCAGATCCGATGTGGGGCACCTCCAACATTCTCCCCCACCTAAACTCGCAATGCCCTCGTTGCGGTTGAGCCACCCTACCTACCCATGGCAACAACCCGGACACCTCCGGATCGGGCATTTGGCGTGACACCGGATCAAGAACTTGGTCATGCTCTTATACCAACACCAATGGGCGGGCGCTTGCCCGCTAACCCAAAAGCTTAAGCTAATGGGTAGTGCTGCATACCCACACATTTATACCCATTTCAATTCCCATTTGGATCCGATGTGGGACCCCTCTAATAGTAGGGTTATACAAGCTACTAGCCAAAGTTCTTGAATTGAAGTTAAGGAGGGTCGATGGTGTGATCTTTAAAACTTAAAACAACTTTGCTAATGACTTTGTCGATTCTAGAATCAAAAGTAGGTAGCAGGGATCATGTGCAAGCTGGACATAAGGCAGATAGATGAAGATGCCCCATGCTCGCAATTTGTTTCACGTCCAAGAGAACGAGTGCACAATGAGTCATGCTCCACAAACAATGATAGGGGCGCATGGACCACAGGGGGCACTTTGACGCTCACCCCATGCCACTTGATGGCACAAAGCGATAAAGGGGACAGTAAGAGTATTGATTTATGTCATTAGATATGCAACACAAGAACCCAACTAGAGACCAAGGAAAAAATATGCCCTTGTAGCGTGACTAAAGAAGAATGGCCAAACTGACTTCACCGCCAAGCAAGGAACCAACCAGCCCGCACAAACCAAACACCACCCACACACTATCACATACAACTACGCAAGAGCCACAACCGATAATTTGCAGATCTGACAAACGTGTGTGCACAATGAACCTGCAGTCATCAAGTGAGACCTAGCCAGCACCGCTTGGTGCATTAGGGGAAGGGGGGACGAGATGGCGGGAAGCACACCAAGACAAGCAGCCCGCGTAGAAAGCTTGTGATCATGTAAACTGGGATTTCGTTATTTACATTATGGATAGGATGGGCTTTGGTGAAAAGTGGATGAGGTGGTGGATTCACTTTTGCATCTCAACAGGTCACAGTGAATGGATCCCCTGCAAGCTTCTTTAGCTACTCTAGAGGTTTAATTAGAGACACGGTGACCATTTGTCTCCTTTCCTTTTCTTTATGGTAGTAGAGGTTTTAATAGGACAATGGGGAGGGAAGGGACTCTTGGCTATATCAGGAGGTTTGTAGTGGGAAAGAGTGCTGACACTCAACTGGAGGTTTCTAGTCTTCTTTTTGTAGATAAAGCCACTGCGTTCTGGGATGCAAAGGAGCAGTTAAGGTATTTGAGATACGCTTCCAAGCAATGTCAGGATTGAAGAATATAAGAAAAAGTGAGACTGTCACAATGGGGGAAGTTGAAAAAATATCCACTCTCGCTAACATTTTGGTTTGCAGTGTAAGGACTTGCCCTATGTCTTACTTGAGCTTGCCCTCGAGAGCTTCATCGATCGCTATTTCTTTTCGGGAACAGGTGGTGGAGAGGTTTGAGAAAAGGCTTGCTAGGCGGAAGAAGCAATATCTTTCAAAGAAAAGTTGTCTTACACTACTAAGAGTACACTTTCAAATCTTCTAACCTACTTTGTCCATCTGTTTTAGATTCCATCTTCTAAGGTTTTTTTTTTTTTTTATAGATGTTGTATTAAGAAGCGTTCAAAAGGGAAGCGCATCCCTCAAAAGCTACACAAGGACAAATAGGGCCTCTAAACCCTCAAAGAGTCCAAAAAGTCGACTATCTCATCCATGGATTTACAATTTCTCCCTAGAACCCAGCAAAAAGAGTACTAATAATGGAGAACTTCAGAGCACCAATAGGTGTCTCCTTCCCTTCTAAGGATCTCCTATTTCTTTCAAGCCATAAACACCACCAGACGCATGAAGGCATAACCCTCCACACATCACGAGCTTGGGCCCCCACCTAAGAAGCATGGAAACGGATATGGGACATGGATACAACATGACACATACACGGTAAATCCTAAAAAATTAGGACACGAATACGGCAAGGACACGGCGAATAATATATAGATATATATCATGTTATACTATAAGAAATTAAGAGTAATATTATCTTTTATTAACCTACTAATGAAAACAATTTGTGTTTTGCTAAGAAAAAGAAAGAAACAAACAAACAAAAAGGATTAGGGTATTATTAGAAAAAAAAATTAAGGGTTAGTTAAAAACAGATGTAAGAATCCATAGAAGAGAAGAAATTCGTGGAAACAACATAAAATATTGTAGTGAAAGGTAAAAAAGAAGTATCAAAGGTTTGTGATGAACGAAAATAAGAAGAAGAGGAGAGAGAGGACCATCCACCAGGAGCAAAGCTTGGTCGGTGGGAGAACAAGAGAGCCAAAGTTGATCGTGCAAGAGTTTGAATCTGTGAACTCAAATATAAGCATAAATATATTATTATTTTAATATAAAATTGTTTTATAACAAACAACTTTTAAGTAATTATGTAATGACGACCATATTATGGGAAGTTATTAAACAATTCCTCATACTTATACTTCAACACAACTTTCGTAAAACTCCCCAAAAATGCGACATGCATGTCAGACACGGATACGTGTCTGAATATTTTAAAAAAAATAATCAGACACGTATTTTGGCATGTCCGACAAGTGTCGGGGCGTGTCCAGTGTGTGTCGGTGTCCGACACGGATTCATTGCCCTTTTAGGTGTGTTCGTGCTTCCTAGGCCCCCATTCTACAACCTCTCCAAGCATCAACCAAGCCTCTGGAAGACCTAAGCATAATCCACTAAACCCCAAACAAACCCAACATCAATTGACCGTTTCCTCGTCTCTCTTGCACATGCTACAGCAATTGACCACAACCTGACCCTCTTCTTAATATTATTGTGGATCAAGATCTTCCCCAACACAGAGGTACAAGCAAATAAAGCCACCTTGAGGGGGGCTTAGAACGCCAGATAGCCTTCTATGGGAATGTGTCCCCTGGAGAATCTATAAAACACCTATAGAGTGGTCAAACCTCAAAGTGTCCCTAGGAAGAGGGAGCCTAAACAACAGAGTGAAGGACACCACCCACAAACTCCTGTCAATACAGTAACTCCAAAAAAACCAATGGCTTCCTCAATCTCCCAATCCTGAAAATGCCTCGAAAAACGCCCATCCAAAATGTTCTTCCACTATCAAGCCCAGGACGTTCTTCCACTATCAATCCATAACAGTCAACCACCAAGGTGTGTCTGTCCGTGGCAATCCTAAAGAGTCTGGAAAAAGAGAGAGCAAGAGACCGCTCCCCATGCCAAATATCCTCCCAAAAACGAATCCTGCTACCATCCTTGACTCGAAATCTGATGTGTTTAGAAATTTCATTCCATCCCTACCTCAAGCGAGCACAACCACCTTGAACCTCCCCGAATTTACTCATTATCACCCTCCTCCACAGTCTGTGCCTCTCCACCCCAAACCTCCATGACCACCTCCCCAAGACGGCCTTCTTGAAAGGCGCCAGTCTTCTGATATCCAAACCACCCTTCAATACAAAGGTTGAGGGCTACAAAGGAAGAAGCTCGGAATGTGACCAACAAGTTGGTGGGGATTTGTGGCTACTCTTGAGACCAAGCTCGAAACAAATTTAGATTCTTTAGGAAGCAATTCTTAGAAAGTCTTTTGCAAACTATAGTTAAATGTTTCTTAAGCCCCAATAATTCAGCCACCGGGAACACCATTCCAAACTCCTAATAGAAAACCATTATCAATTCT